GTAACTACCAGTAAACAATGGAAACGATGCACCAACGCACCACCAGCTGTGAGTGTCGGTACAGTTGCCAGGGCAGATCTCTTGCGTCATCATAGCAAGCCCAAAGTAGCCAAATCCATGGTATGGTAGCACAGGACGATGTAAAACATAAAGTATTCATTTATTGAAGTGTATTTATAGATACTGTGCATAAATTTTTGTTCATTACATTTGAAACATCAATCTTTGTTAATTAAATTTGAAACAAAAGAAAACTACGATACCGTATTTTCATTAAAATATTACATCACAAGTATATTTTACCGTAACTGTGACTGAATGAATATAGGTATTCTCGGAAATAAATATGGAAATGTAATATTTTTGCTGGAATGACGTACATATTACAGTGGAAAGTGGGATAAAATCATGACGAAAACAATGACTTTCGCTTTCTTTCGTTGTTCAAAAGATTTTACCGTAATCGCTTTTCGAATGGTTTTCAGTTAAAAAACTTTTGTACTGTACTCGTACTGTATTACAATAATATTCTATCCTATCATTAGCCTTATAATCCCACAACTGAAAACCATTCGAAAAGCGATTACGGTAACATCTTTTGAACGAAAGAAAGAAAAAGTCATTGCTATCGTCACAATTTTATCCCACTTTCCACTGTGATACGTACATCATTTCAGCAAAAATATTACATTTCCATGTTCTCAGAAATAAATGGTAGTTTTGTTGAAACGTAATGTACAGTATTTAATATTAAAATGCAAAAATAGCTATAAAAACAATTAATAAAGTGAACCCTCACTTTACGCGGTCAATTGAACCCACGGCGGCCCACGTAAAGTGAGAAACGCGTAAAGTGAACAACATAACATATGGGATTAATTGAAATAGAGACCGGGCCGACCCCCAAACTCCACTTTTTCAAACACAATACCTACGTTGTAGTAAAAATAACTTCTTAATTTTACGATGGTATGCACACACAATTAATAATTAAGAGAAATATCAATAATATTAGGTTTTTTAACACTTACATTAGTAGAAAAGATGGCTGGGCACACGGGGATGGGGGGTTGGTTCCGAGGCAGAGGGCAGATTATTGGCCCTCACCTGTATCACTTGTATCACTATCCACTACAGAGGCTTGCAGGGCCTCTTTGTCAAACCCCTCAAAGTCCATATAAGTCCATATCCTCACTATCATTATCACTATCACTGACTTGGGCCGGCTGTGGTGGGTGGCGGGTGAAGAACTTGGTAATGTTTTGATGACTGGGCGACTTTGTGCGCACCCTGCTCGCGCCGCTCTCCGCGTAAAAGGGTACACACACCGCGGAAAGTGAGAATTCCCTGTTCGGCAGGGTACCGCATAAACATGGAAACGCGTAAAGTGGGACCGCGTAAAGCGAGGGTTGACTGTACACTCGTAATGTACTGGCTGGCATCTCCACTCGTCCCTGCTCCCGCCAGTCACCTCCTCCCCGCTCTATCCCTCCGCCTCCTCCCCGCTCTATCCCTCCGCCTCCTCCCCGCTCTATCCCTCCGCCTCCTCCCGCTCTATCCTCCGCCTCCTCCCTCTATCTCCCTCCGCCTCCTCCCGCTCTATCCCTCCGCCTCCTCCCGCTCTATCCTCCGCCTCCTCCCGCTCTATCCTCCGCCTCCGCTCTCCCTCCGCGCTCTATCCCTCCGCCTCCTCCCGCTCTATCCCTCCGCCTCCTCCCGCTCTATCCCTCCGCCTCCTCCCCGCTCTATCCCTCCGCCTCCTCCCCGCTCTATCCCTCCGCCTCCTCCACATCGTCACTACTGTTGTATTACAATAATATTCTATCCTAATTCACTTGAATAAATACTACAATACCATATTTCTGAATATTTTCATTAAAATCCATCAAAATCATTTTCCTTGTAATCGTCTTCAACACCAAACAGCTCCTCCCAGTCTTCTCCTTGAACAGGGCTAGAGGGTACATGTTTTTCGAATCATTTTCAGTTAAAAAAATGTTACATCACATGTATATTTTACCTAAACTGTGCCTGAATGAATATATTCTCAGAAATAAATAGTAGTTTTGCTGAAACATGATGTATTTCAATGTAAAATAGGATAAAATACATGACGAAAACAAAAGGCTTTACCTAACCTTCCGATGTTCAAGAGATGTTACTCGTTTTTATAATAGTTTTCGGTTAAAATACTGTTATATTACAATGATATTCTATTCATACTGTGCTTGATATAATGCATTCACGGAAATGTAATATTTTTGCTGAAATGACGTACGTATTCCAGTGGAAAGTGGGATAAAATCGTGACGAAAACAATGACTTGCTTTCTTTCGTTCAAAAGATGTTACCGTAATCGCTTTTCGAATGATTTTCAGTTCAAAAAATTGTTGCATCACAAGTGAATTAGGATAGAATATTATTGTAATACAAAAGTTTTTTAACTGAAAACCATTCGAAAAGCGATTACGGTAACATCTTTTGAACGAAAGAAAGCGAAAGTCATTGCTTTCGTCACTTTCCACTGTAATACGTACGTCATTTCAGCAAAAATATTACATTTCCATATTCTCAGAAATAAATAGTAGTTTTGCTGAAACGTATTGTATTTCAATGTAAATTAGGATAAACTACATGAAAACAAAAGACTTTACCTAACCTTCCGATGTTCAAGATATGTTACTCGTTTTTTTAATAGTTTTTGGTTAAAATACTGTTATACTAGTGATATTCTATTCATACTGCGCTTGATATAATACATTCACGGAAATGTAATATTTTTGCAACTACAATGCTGATGTCAACACAAGCGTGGTTACAGCGAGACTGACTGAGTGAGGGAGAGCTATGCGTGTGTGTGTGTGAGGTTGCGGGAGCGTGCGGTGTCCTGTGTTCGGTGCCGCACGCGGGTTGAATGGCGCGCGATTTGAATGTACTTCAATTACTTCAATGTACAGAATATTCCTCCGGCGGGGCAATCCGCGTATTTGCAAATCCGCGTATGCTAAACCCGCATATGTTAAGGGCCGACTGTATTCTCCAAAATTCCGGTACCCTGAAAAATTCCGAGAATGGGAGATTTCTTTCCGGGTTCAAGAGATGATGTAATGTACATTTTCTGGAACTTTCGAGAAAATTTCCCAGTACCTGGATACAAGGGATTTTTTTTCCGAGTTTGAGAGTTGTCCCATTACCCAGAAATTGCTCATTTCCGGAAGTGCTCCGCACCAATTGTTCCGGTTAATGGAGATATCACTAGTATATAATCATACTTTAGGCAGCAATTTAGTGACTTTTATATTAACATAACAACAATAACATAATATGTGTATCCTGTATATTTACAATAGGTGAAATTTAGGTTTGATTTTTACTCTCTGGTTCCAAAACAAAAAAATGTAGCTGTGATACCATGAGTTGCTTTATTTTTGAATGTTTCTTTTATTTCTTTTTTGTTTTTGCTTCCCTTCCTTTTTATTAGATTCTAAATCCCCTTCTTTTGTTGGGTATGTGTTGCTTATATATTTTGACACAACCTTGGTCCAGGGGATTGGGGGGCGGGAGGGGTGCAATTGCACCACCCACCCCCCAGCGAATGCTCATGCTTTTTTACACATTCAGTTGTTATTGGTTTAGTTATGTTTACAAGCTTACAAGCAAACATAATACAGTCGTCCCTCGGTTAACAAATGCCTAAGTTAACGAAATTTCGGTTAACGAATTACCTTCCATAAGAATCTTCATTTCGGTTAACGAACAAAAATTCGGTTAACGAAATTCTTACAAAAATGTTTCGACATGCTGTGGCTTGCTCACCAGCTGGAAGATTAGTCCACCAATACAGAAATCGGTTCTAGGGCTTACATTCATTAAAATTGGAGTGAATATCAAGAAGGTTGTACTATTCAATAATTTTCCAAGTTTTATATTAAAATTTTTAGTCATTTTAACACTTATTTAACATAATTGCAGTACTGTACAGGGAACTAGTTTTTGGTGCGCCCATCAGCCACTTCACTCACCCGCCAAGGCCTCAGTTTGTATCTCTGTTCAGTGGAGGAAACATCCTGCTTGTGGGTCTCTTGAAAACAGAGTATTTTTACGTTTTTACAGTACAATTATTGGTCATTCTGAAATTTATTTAACATATTGACAATATATAGTGCAGTGCAGTGTTGATTTAAAGAAAATAATCTTGAATTACACCTAGTGAACTTAAAATTTTATGGGTGAAATGACAGCATGAAGCATGGGGTGATTTCTCTTCCACCCCCACTTCCTTCTCTTCTCCCTTCTCCTCCACCCCCACTTCTAATTCCCATCATCATCATCATCATCAACCAGAAGCCTTCTACATACACACCTCAAAGTAAGTGTACTTTACTGCATTTTTTTTTTACTTTGTATGTAATTTTCAGTGAGCTGGAACCAATTACCCAAAATCCCATTGAAACAATGGTTTCGGTTAACGAACGACCTTCTGGAACGAATTGTGTTCGTTAACCGAGGGACCACTGTATTTCTTGGGCAGTCTTTAATACTCTAGCTAAAAACCTAATATTGAGTTTGTGGGTTACAGGGGTGAGGTAAGATGTTTGGAGACAGCCCAACCAACTAGTAAGCAGACCACACCTGCAGTCAGCAAAGATGAGGGACTGAGACCAGAGAGACTGTATGAATTGTTTGACTGCTCAGTGTCTGGGGATAGTCTGGAGTTACAAACCCCTTGAGTAATGATAGGAAGATGGTTAAGTCTCCATGGACCAACAGGAAGTTATAAACATACTAAATATTACAATTCCCACCAAGATGTCACAACCCAATGTATGGATTGGAGAAGATAATTCCTGGCAGCAGGTGTCTCAATGTCTACTTGCCAAGAGGATTAAGTGAATGAGTTAGATGTATCAAGCGGTGCGGTGATGCCAAAACCAAAAAAAAAGAGATCTTATGGTGTCAAGTGAAGAATTTTAGACTATCAAAACAACATCATTACTGACCAGAAACACATTGGAGGTCGTCTGGAGGGAATAATAAAGCTGTACACAGAATGGGCTCTTGGTCCTGGCCAATGCATCCCTCTCTGTAATCACTGGTAGAGAAAAGTATTTACTATATTACATAAAATTACAATTTTTGCACACTCACTCACTCACTCTCTCTCTAGAAGATTTCAGACACAAATCCATATTTGACTTCGGGTAAAAGTCTGGAATAATCACATGAAACATTTGCTGTCTAGATTACTGCACTGTACTGTATGGGCACACTGTAACAACTAATTTTATATAAACTAAAGACAACCCATGATGGCAATATACGACAAGATGAAATTTGAATTAAACATTGTGAATACTGTGGTGGGGAACAGATTCTACGAAAAGACATATTTAAACCAAAGCACCAAATTAATACATCAATATATTGTACAGTAGAACGTCGATATAACACAAGATACGTTCCAAGAGAGGTCGCTTTAAACCGAATTCGTACTAAATCGAAGTGTTGTTTCAATGGAATAATCTAGTTTGGTGCTTGAGAGAAACAAAACATTGTTTTTTGTAGTATTATGTTAAAACAAACACTCATAAATCAACACAGCTAAAACTATGGGACATGAAATGCCTGTTTACTAGTGATCAGCTGATGTGAAGATTGGGGAGGGGGGGAGAGGTGAGGTGATATGTTTGACTGTTGTTGCCAAGGTCTATTGTTTATTTATTTATCTGTCCTTAAGAGTGACATTAAGTTTTCCTCTTATAAAATGTCACTGAACTGACCTCGGAGAATATAATTAACATTGCTGGAATTCTTATAAGATGGTGATTAGTCTGAATATATACATGCTATAGTTCGCATTTTATTACAAAGGGCAAAAATTTTTATCTCTTGTGCAAAATATATGATGTTTATATTCAAATTATTCACTGTCTCGCAAGGATTCTAGCAATGCAAATTATAGTCTCCTAACTTTAGTCTGTGAGATTATATAAGATAAAAACTGTAAGCCTATAACCACCCAACCCTGGCTGGGAAGATGGGGGGGGGGGTGACAGTGACACGTTTGACAGTTGGCGCCGAAGGTCTAGTGAAGTATTTATTTGTTTATTTATGTCCTTTAGATTGAGTTTATGTTTTTTGTTTATAAAATGTCACAGAAGTGACCGGGGAGAATTTAATTTACATTGCTAGAATTCTTATAAGACAGTGATAAATTTGAATAAACAAATGCTATAGTTTGCATTAGATATACACATTTTAGTTTATTAGGAAACTTATTACAAATGGCTAAAATTTTTATCTCTTGTGCAAAATATATGACGTTTATAATCAACTTATTCACTGTCTTGCAAGGATTCTAGCAATGCAAATTATAGTCTCCTTACTTTAGTCTGTGATATTATATAAGATAAAAACTGTAAGCCTATAACAGCCCAACCCTGTCTGGGAAGATGTGGGGGGGGGGAGGGTAAGCGACAGTGACATGTTTGACAGTTGGCGCCGAAGGTCTAGTGAAGTATATATTTGTTTATTTACGTCCTTTAGATTGAGTTTTTGTTTTTTGCTTATAAAATGTCACAGAAGTGACAGGGGAGAATTTAATTTACATTGCTGAAATTCTTATAAGATAGGTTGCTACAGGTTGCACTCGACAAAAATTTAAGTAATCATTTAGTACATTATTTTGAGTACATGTACAGTACAGCTTTGCCCTTAGGACAGCTTAGCATGCCCAGAAAAACATTAGGTGCAAATTTTAAAATATGATATGCCAGACAGTCTCGCGCAAAATAGGAAAGATTGGCTTTAAATTAAAACATTATCCTTAATTGTGGGTGTCACTTTAAATCAAAAATCTTAAATTGAATCGCTTTAAATCGACGTTCTACTGTATAAGTTCTGACCTTAAGCAAATCATACAATTCACTGATCATGGTTGTGGACTGAGACCCAGGAAACATTTTGAAAATACTGACTGAGACTAATACAATACTGTACATTATAGAAGTAAAAGGCTTTATACCTTTTGTTCTTGTTGTAAAAGTTATTTGCATTTTGCTAAATATTCAACGTGAGTCCCGCTGTCATGGTGGTGGTGGGGGAGCCAACACAACTAATACTTAGCCAAAAAGAGTACCTGATACCTCTGTGAAAGAATCGGTCTAAATGGAGATAATGTTTTGAAGGTTTTCTCTACTAGGTGTGAGTCTAACCCAAGTGATGGGGATGTTCTGGTGAAGCCTAGAACACAATCTCAGGAAATTCTTTCATGTATGCTGGTTGTGGAGATTCTTAGTGAACATCAGCCAAAATTAAGGGACAGATTCTGAAATTGCACTTTATGTTGAGTCCAAAACTGGGTGTCTTGGCTACCCTCCCTCTTCCCAGTGGGCAGTGATGAAGTCTGCTGGACTGAATGGATTGTCCTGGTCTCCAATTTGGCTGATCAGGATGAAGGGTGAGTGCGGGGTGCATACAGTTTATTGATGAGAAACCATTACTCATTGCTTTTTACTTTAAATGGCGACTGTTGATTTCAGTAGAACCTTTTCAGGAAGCTCAGTTGTGATAGGATGGTCTATTGTCAAAAGGTTTCCAAAGTTTTCACCCACAGACATGGTGAGCAAATCACATGAGTTGCTTAGCTCAAGGCTCAGCTTTAAAATGATATTTGAGATTCATTACAGTACAGTACTTCATTATACTTACCCTGTTCGACCATGTTCTTGTGCACAATGTCCGACTTCTTGACTACTTTGATGGCATATAACTGATTCTGGTTGTCCTTTTTACACCCCAGAAATACTTTTCTGTTAATATAAATAAAACAAAAATTAGATGAACTAGATAACTACATGTATTATAAAAGTATAACAATGGAAATATTAACATCATTCTCCCCAGTGAAAGAGAGGTGAATTATGTACATGATAAATTTTACTAATGCAGGTTGAAACACTCTAGTCTGGCACCCTTGGGACCCGACCAGTGTCGAACCATAGAAACTGACCCCAGAAAACCCTCTACCGCTCACACAACTTTCTATTTCTTTTTTTTTTTATAGGGATTAGCCCACCCGGGCACAGGTCACTGACCCACATCGGAGTGGGGTGGGGTGGGGGGAGGGATTTAATAATAATAATAATAATAATAATAATAATAATAATAATAATAATAATAATAATAATAATAATAATAATAATAATAATAATAATAATAATAATAATAATAATAATAATAATACAGTCAACCCTCACTTTACGCGGTCCCACATTCCGCGTTTCCACGTTTACGCGGTGCCCTGCCAGAACCCAGGATGCTCACATTCCGCGGTGGGTGTACCCCTTTACACGGGTGAAGTATAATTTTTTTATTTAGCTCATAAAATTCATACAAATTATCCGGCCAAAATATAATTTACATTGCTGGAATTCTTACAATTTGATGATCATTTTGAATATAAATATCATAGATTTTGCATTAGACATACAAATTTTAGATATAATGTTTACTCTGAGTAAATATGTTATCTTTTGTGCAAAATATATGACATTTATATTCAAAATATTCCTCGTCTTACAAGGAATCCAGCAATGTCAATTATATTATCCTAACTTTAGTCTGATTTATTATTTATTACTAAAAAGGTAAACAGTCTGGTATTCCCACACATTTATCTGGTACGGACGGTTGGTGGGGGGTGGGGGGGAGGGGGGAGGGAGGGACCGGCGACCGACCACCTGGCATGTGTGAAGAATATTTTTTTTTGTATTAACTGAAGATTTTTATTTTAGCTCATAAAATTCATACAAATTACCCGGCCAGAATATAATTTACATTGCTGGAATTCTTACAATTTGATGATCATTTTGAATATAAACATCATATATTTTGCGTTAGACATAAAATTTTTAGATATAATGTTTACTCTGAGCAAATATGTTATCTTTTGTGCAAAATATATGACATTTATATTCAAAATATTCCTGGTCTTACAAGGTAATATTTAATACTAAATGTTAAAATCTAGTTTTTTCACCCACCCTTTCTCTTGAAGGGAGGGTTGGTGGGAGGTGGGGGGGAGGGTTGGGACGGACTGACCATCTGGCTCTGTTGGAAGAGGGGTGAAGGCAAGGTGGGGTACTTTGATTGACAGATAGTGTTAACGCTCATAGGAGCGTTATTGGTTTGTTGCTGGAGAAATAAACCCTCAAAGTTGACGCGTACCATATAATTCGGTCAAAACCTGTTAAAGAACATTTCTCATATAACAAATGCTGTTATCTCAGGACACATACGGTATTATGAAATACAATCAATATACAGTACATAGCCTGTTAACATCTTAAATATAACTCGCATGTTATAACTATTGATACAGGAGACAATTGGTATAATATGATCAAATTGCAGTACACAAATATACTTATTAAAGTTATTTAGAGTTTCATAGCAGATTCTAATACTTCACGATCACTCACGTTTTAGGGTCTAGTGGTCTGAATCAACGTGTTGTCTGTCCTGAAGAAATCAGTAGACTACCCTCGAGGGCAATCTCAGCCCGGAGGCGAGGGCCATATGTTTTCGTATTGAAACACCTCAGCAGATTGGTCAGCAAATTCATTGTCAACACTATATCTCTTATCTCATTTCATCCCCTCTCTCTCTCTCTCTCTCTCTCTCTCGCCTAGTTTATCTTATTATGGTTATCCCTCTCTTTCTCTCTCTTCTAGCTTATCTTACTGTGGCGGTAACAGATAGTGTCTGAAGAATATTTCTTTTTTTTTATTAACTGAAGACATTTGTTTTAGCTCATAAAATTCATACAAATTACCCGGCCAGAATATAATTTACATTGCTGGAATTCTTACAATTTGATGATCATTTTGAATATAAACATCATAGATTTTGCATTAGACATACAAATTTTAGATGTAATGTTTACTCTGAGTAAATATGTTATCTTTTGTGAAAAATATATTACATTTATATTCAAAATATTCCTGGTCTTACAAGGAATCCAGCAATGTCAATTATATTATCCTAACTTTAGTTTGAGGAATTATTTATTACTATACCTGGTTTTCCCCCAAAAATTTCTCAGAGGGAAGAGCCAGTGAGTGTAGTGTGAGAAGAGGGGGAGGGAGTTGAGTCCATTATTTGAATGGACATTAACTTGGCGACTGTATTTCTCTATTTCTCTTAAGTATTAATTGTGTGCATGTACCATCATAAAATTAAGATGTTATTTTTACTAGAACATAGGTATTGTGTCGGAAAAATTGGAGTTTGGGGGTCAGCTGGTCTCTATTTCATTTAATCCCATATGTTATGTTATTCACTTTACGCGTTTCTCACTTTCCGCAGTACCCTGTGGGTTACATTAACCGCGTAAAGTGAGGGTTGACTGTACTTGCAGTGTGTTTAATGTATTACAGTATATTATAAATAAATAAATAAACAAATAAATCGGCAAATCTATTTCAAGTAAATGGAAATATTTTACTCACACCAACATTAGTTCCAGTTAAATAACTGATGCTTAAGTGAGTCACTAGTGTACACCAGCCAGTAAAATTTGATGCCAATACTTGAAGTGAATTGGCATTATTTTAAATAACCAACCATAAATAAATGCAAAAAGGAAAAAAGATCAAAGGTGAGAAAATTATATTGTATGTATGTTGTGTTGTCAAAGGAAGAGAAACAATTGAAACTCTGCAATTGTAGGTAAATGAGGCAGAAAGATAGATGAGCAACCTAAGACTTGGTCACAATTTTTGTGATGCCATATGGAAGTAGGATCTACCCTTAAACAATACTGTACATTATGCCTCCAATATCTTCCCAGGCGGTAGTATCTCCCTGTTTGGTAGCTGCCTACTACCTATACACAAATTTTAGTAATATTACTTTGATACAACATGATAAATTAGACAAACAATGAAAATAAACAAACAAAAGTTATTTACCAAGACCTTCTCTCTGAGAACAGAGGGATGGAGGGGAGGGAAGGAGGGGTGATAAGACGGCTATTTATAGCCCGTCTTTGTGTAGGAAGTCGACCACACTATAAATAATTCATTTAAAATTTATATTTTTTACATAGAATATTCAGTACATGACTGCGATTATAAAATAGGCCGAGATATACGGTATGTAATATTTATGTGTGTGTGATGTGTGTAAACAGAGAGCTTGACCTCTCTTTCTGTGTATGGGTGGAATTCGTGGTTTAGAGTGAGTGATACGAATGTCGTAACATTACTAGGCTGAAGGCGCCTGAATACTACTTAAACACATCAAAACTATGTTAATTGGTCACTGTATAATAAATTCATTCACTCATAATTTAAAATTCCCTTATCATCCTGTGTTATATACAGAAATACTTGAGTCCCTAAGCGAGTACACAAAAATAAAACGAAGGACTAAGACATCCTGAAGTGGATAGAGAACGGACATCTCTACTGGGGGACTCAAACGTTTCTCATGTTTTGAGGGCGCTGTAGCATAATATGAATAATATGTAAATTACAATTCACATATATATACTGTATGTAAATTGTAAAAATTTAAATAAAAGAGAAAAACTAAATAGGTAGCATTTAAAATGTACTGTACAGTGTTGTGGCTTGGCGCGGGGTTATGCAGCGTTTACAGTTCACGTTCGACATCACATGTTCAATTGATTTATGTGTTTTGTTTGTGAACAATTGCAGAAATAATTTATGTAATATTTATGTATACAGTATACCTGTACAGTATATTTAAATTGTAAAATTTTAAATAAGAGAGAAAAACAAAATACATAGCGTTTTAGACCCGCGCTCTCTGTTTACTCCACACGTTCAGTTTGAAACACGTGTGAAGTTTTTAAGCGTCCTCAGTGAATTCTGATTACTGTTTCTCCAATTTTGTGACTATGGAAAAGAAGAATATCTCTGGGAAGCGTTCTGGTGATAGCATTTCCGGTGGTGATCGTAAAAGAAAGGCTATAACACTTGAAGAAAAGCTTGATGTTTCATGACTCCTCAACCTCAACATCAACCTTCTCCCCCATCAAGTTATATTCATATTTTTTCAAGGTAAAGTGTAACATTTGCTGTATGATTTCATTATTAGATATGAATGTAACAATTATTTAGAATGTGCTATCCTTTGTGTTAGGCTAACTACGAATTTGTTTTCGATTTTGAGTAATCTGCACCTAATCCTATTTTCTCCATAAGCTCCGTTATTTCTATTACGCGAATTTCTATAACACGATGTTTTACAAGAACACAACTATAGCGTTATAGCAGAACTACCTGTACATGAAATAGGAAGGGTTTCTTGACCAGTTGATCCAAAAAGATTTACCAAAATGTTATGTCAGAGTAATAATACTTAACCTAGGTGTTACTAATACAATTAATTTACTCTAGTATATAAAAGCCTGCATCAGTTACCACAATATAATATCACTCTGCCATTTCAGATATGCCTGCAGGACGAGCAAATTCGTCGGCAGTGATTGCTGAGCGAGGCCAAATCATAGGGATGTGGAGAGCAGGGGCAACTGTGCCGAACAATGCTGTAAAAAGTGGGGAGGAGCACCAAGACGATTAGGAGGTGGATCCGTCGGTGGGAGGAAGAGGGCTCAGTGGAGACGAAACCTCGAAGTGGGAGGCCACGAGTAACGTTGGAAAGGATGGACGCCATGATCGTGGCAGCTGCAACGGCATATCCAATGCAAACATCAGTGGAGCATACAAGAAAGCTGGGCCTCAACTACCATCACATGACGACGAGACGCAGACTTCATGAA